AAGTTTATTTCTTAGGCATTAAGACATCTAATAGAACAAATCCTTAAAAGAAAAATACAAAAATGATAATGATAAAGTTTAAAGCCAAATTGACCTGCTGCAATAGATCCAATACATATTCTTTACCCACAGCAGCAAAACACCATAACACAAGTCACACATGAATTGGGAAGTTTAATAGTAATCATATGATGTATTTGATAAAGTTATAGAAGAGGTTTAAGGCCAGCCACTGACATGTGAATCCAATTCTTTGTCCTACCAGCTTAAGCTTTTGGGTTTAGGATTTAAGTCCAACAAGTATGCATTGTTTTTTTTTTTTTTGATCAGCCAAAGAAAATTTAAAATTAATGAAGCACAAGGGGTGCTCCTGCCCATATACAAAAATAAAAATGGTTACCACAAAATAGGAGAGCCAATCTCCTGAAAACCAGCAACTGATACAGCATACTAATCACAAACATAAAACCACAGAAGCCCACACCAACAAGTATGCATTGTATGTTCCTTGTGAGCTACCACTGGCCTGGTTTTCCCACAAGAGCTAACTAGGTAAAGCATTCTACATCAGATAAAAAAGAAATCTTGTGGAGTACAAAACAACTAATATTTAGGCCAAGATTTTCTGGCCTGGCCCATATGAAGAATCAAAAGGATTTTCCGGTTCACTTCCCTTCCCCCCTGACATGTTCTTTACTAATAATGATATAAGGTACCAAAATTTAAAATTAATGATATGGTAAAAGTTTTGTCATTTAAAATATTAAAAAATAATATTTATATTATTTAATAATTGATTTTTTTATTTTTTTAAAACTCATAATATTATATATATTAATTCATCTAATGAAGATCCCAAACTTTAATATTAAATTTTCACCTTTCCTATCATTATTTATTTTTTACCTATCTCAAACTAGGCAAGCTTATCAATCTAAAAATAAACAAAGATAAAGTTTATAAAGGTTGAGATTAAATTTTAAAAATGCTTGATCTTTCAAATATTTTATATACATATCTGTGTCAAACTTAAAATTTTACAAGATGATAATATATTTTGAATGCCATCATCTGTTTTACTCATTAGTTTTGGAAATACATACAGTAAACAAACAAACAATTACAAATATTCAATTAAGGTTTAAAAAATACTAATCAATCTTGCATGGGCCCAGAATCATGCTTGAGGTGTAGGTGTTTAGCAAACGTCAACTAATTTTATTATTGTTTTATTACTTCTCAAAAAAAAAAAAAAAAACCATTTTTCTTTAAGCATACTTAAGGCCTCAGGGTATAACACCTTTGCTCAATTTTTTTTTATTCTACAAAGCAGAACTCTACTAAAGAAACAAAAAAAGAACAAAGCAGAACAAAACAAAACAAAATTATGTAAACTCTACTTATAAAAAACACATGTTTAGTGACAAGTCACATGTAATTTTTCCGTACTTTATCTAGTAATTTAATTTGCCTTCCTAGGCTAATAATCCAACAAAATTTGGAAATGGTTTTTTTGCAACTAGTATTTGATAATTGACAGAATTTAGAAAAGCAAAAAAGCAAGATTGAATACGAAACGAATAACAAGAGAAGCAAATATAGTGTGCTTGTAACAATGATAAAGCCAAACAGAACTGCCGTAGTGGAATAAATTGAACACCATAATTTGCAAATGGACAAAAACTATATATATCAGTTTTAGGAAATGAGGTAACATTTTGGGTGCCAAACAATGTGGGCAGTAAGGAATTAATTAAGAAAACATCCCAATATGACTCTATATACAAGAGAATGAGAGATACATTTTTATTAGACAAATGTAGACCGTAGAGAAGATTGAAGCATGAGCAGTGCTAGGGGCACTCGCCTCCTGCACTCCCCGGCCGACACTTCCACTTTCATTGGACCACGTAAGCTTGCTTACGAGTTTTTAGCATTGGGCTTGTCATTCAGATTCATGACCACTCTGTAACCGTAAGTATCAATACCAAGTCATTTTAGGAAGTGCGCTAACACTTCGGAAGCAGCTCGATGTGCTGATGGGTGTGTACCGTAATGGTTACGTAAGGGAGGTGAATCGGAAGTACTAAGATCGCGATGTGTGCCGCCTCTACTTGTTCGGCCTTTGTCCTCACGAGTTCTTCCAATTAACGGTATTCTCCTGATTGATTCCTTAAATTTTTTTATTTTTTTTTATCTTTTCTTTATGTTTCGTTAATTGTTAAATGATTCATGCCTATCTCTTTCCTTTTGAACCCTAGTTTATGAATTCGAATTGCTTATCTGTGTTTGGTTTCTGAGGAATTTGGTATTTTAGAGGCAGCAGAAGTTTAGAAAGAGAGATTGGTTGAGTTGGGGTTGAGTGTGTGAGCAACACATAATCTGGGTTTTGTTATGCCCTAACTCCTAATTAAGAAGAGATGAATTGAAAGTTGTGTCATTTGTTTTATTGTGAAAAATGGGATTCTGAGATAGAGGGAGAGAGGAAAGTTGTTGAATTAGTGGTAAGCTTGAATTACATATATTTATGAAGACTGCTACTGGAAGCATTTTGAAAATAATTTTTAATGAAATATGAAGAACAAGAGAAAAGAATTGGTAGTTGTGCATGAATAACATAAGTATGTTATTATTAGCTATTTCTAGGTTAGTTTTGTAACCTGTTATGTGTATAAATTAGAACAAGGGTCATGGATATAAGTTTCTATTTTATCATGGGTATATTTGGAACAGATATAAATTCAAATGATAGGGATGCCATTTCTGTTAACTTTCAATTACTTATTCTAGTTATCCGTGAGATGTCATAAAGAAAATCGTGCTACAGCATTAAATTCTCTATTTATCATGGGTATGTGAGATGGAAGACATAACCTAGGTATTTTGGTTGTGATCCATGTTTCTTTACAAATTTAATTAGTTTCTCCTTTACAATCCTATTTTTTTTATTGTCAACTGGTATGACATGTATCATTTTATGTGTTGAGGACAGTATTTTGGTGAGTTTCATAGGTATCATTGTTCTTATGTGGTAAACTCTTATATGTTCAACTTTAGCTTTTGGTCACATTTGAGTTGTAGATACTTGTTTGTGGTTTTCTTTGCAAGTTATTGAAACTTTGGGATTTCTGATTTCAAACTTGTTGTTTCCTCTTGTTTTCTTATTAAGTTATTGAGACTTTAGGATTTCTGATTTCAGTCTTGTGTTTTCTCTTGTTCAGAAAATGGATATGGGGCCATGTCCAAAGGTCCACTCTTTGCAGCTGAGGAGAGAGTATCCTTATATTAGTCACAATGCTGGATAGGTGCTTTTTTAATAGTAGGTACTTTATGTTTGTTTTTCAAAAGTAATGTCTCTGCTGATGGTATGCCTTTGCTATTCACTTTTAGTAGTTTCTGTGTTTCTGCATCTGTGGTTGCTTAACCCTTCTTAGATATGAAGAAGCTAAGGCAAAAGGCATCGATAATTATGACAGAGAGTTGGAAGATGCTATTGATAGGCTCATTGTTGAGTGTGATAGGAAAATTGGTAGAGCTCTCAAGTGTCTTGTAGATGAGGATGCAAAGGCCGCTATTGCTATATCAGTCTCTAAAGTTCCTCAGGTTTTGGATAAGTCTTAATTTTATCTGTCTGACCTTTTTCCCACATGGGACTTACAGATTTATTTATTTTCTATGTTGATGTTACAGACACCAGAAGTACTAGAGCTTTCAAAGCGGATTAAGGAGAAATTGAAAGAAGCTGATCAATATGGTATCATATTTTTGCACTAGCTTCTCTTTTATTTTTTCAGGGCTGTCTCTTAAGTGACCACCAAAGATTTTTATTCTTTTGAGAAAATTTTTGTTTATTCATCCATTTTTTTTTGAAAGTTAAAGTAACATAGGAAGCATCTGGCTTCGTGTGCTATTAGTTAAGCTTTTATGATTTTATTTTTGTTGAAATCTATCTACTTTTGATGTTGAGTTTGAGGTTTTATTTCACTTTTATGCTTGAATTCCTTGTTTTCAAATTGCCTTTCAAAGGTTATGTATAAAAGGAGGGGGTGGGGGTTGGGCGGGTTGCTAGTATTTTCTATTGAGGTTTATATGTACGAGGTGTGACTCTTGAATTGGAACAAAGATGCATTTTCTGCCTTGCCAATTGATGACGAATACTTGATTTGTTTTCTTTGATTTAACTTGGTTATTCTTCTGTGAATTAATTGATTCGGGGTGCTGTCAATTGTTGTGAAGTTTTTGTTTGTAAGTTCAATAGATTTCATAAATTTTAAGATTTTGATTTTTTTGGTTAAGGGGGATAACCATAGTTGGAGTTTGACTGCTTTCCCCATTATTTCAACTCTAAGGTGTTTAATTTGTTATAAAAAGAATAATTAAATAATTCAATTAGTATTTTTAGAGTGAGGAGACTGCCTCAGAATATCCATTTGTCTGGTTGATATATTTGGATAGTTAAGATTAAATCAATATGGTTGAATTCAGCCAAAGGCTATATCTCCTCACATATTCTGGAGGACCTGGACAATGGTACCGAAGAATGGTGAACCGTTCACATCATTTGGTGTGCCTTTAAATGGCAAATTAGCATGACAAAGTAATGATGTGTCACACTTTCACTTTTGTCACGGCCTTTGTAAATGGGTTTTTGAGAATTCTTGAGAAATTTCTCTTGGTAGGGAGTTTAATATATGATTGGTTTCAGTGATTATATCAAATCCTTAACATTACATTGCTTGACTTGATGAGTTCCCAATAAGCCATATCAGGTTTGATTTTTGAAGCCTTTTTACAAGTGCTTTGTTTCAAGTGCTAAATGTTGCACATACAACAATTATGTCGCATAATATTTTCTTTGTCCTTTGTCTTAATATTTACTGTGGATGAATTGTGTAAATTTTATGATTAGCTTTGGGGTGTACATGATTTCTTTTGATTTGCAGATCTTGAAGGCAAGACAAATCTTGAAATATGAGCTCTAGAAGAAGTAGAAGAGTGTAGAACTAAAAGAGCAGATAAACAGGTACCTGATAGCTTCTTTAGATGTGGGATTTGAAATGGGTCTCCGAGAGTATTGATTTATTCATATCAGGATTTCTGATATCTACTATGTATTAAGTTCCTCATAATTTGATTCTTGTATAACATTTAGTCTCTTGGTATATATGATGTTTCTATTTATTGTTATAGTCAACACTGCTTTTGGATGCATTCAATAAAGATCGGGCATCTTTGTCCTAACCATTGCTAAACTCTCCATCTTTGGCACCACTGCTTCTGCTTGCACCTGATCCTCAGACTTAGGAAATGATAAATGAGAAGCTGAAGAAAGTTGAGGATCTTGGTAAGACTCAATTTACCTGAACTCCATTTTTTATGCATGTAAAACGAGGAGAAAAACATAGAGTTCTTGACGATAGATATCTATTAGGTAGCATGTGTTAAATAACATAAACATCTTGAGTTCTTGACAATAGATATCTATTAGGTAGCATGTCTTAAATGAAATTTTTTGAATGCCCCATCATCTTTGAATTCCTATAAATGGGATAGTAGTAATCCTTACGTTGTTTCTGAGGTATTTATTATGCCAATTAATGTTCCTTCCTGTTGGTGCTTTTACCTTTTTTCCTATAAAAAATTGTCAATCTCACAAAATTTATTTCCCCTGCCCTTCCAAAACAATTGTCAATGGTTGATAGACTCAGTGCTTTACTGTTTTTTCAATTAACACTCAATGCCTTACATTAACAATGCCTTTAGAGTGGTTTCATTTAAAATATACAGGAAGGCTATTAAAAAAATTTAGTTACCCAAATACCTCTAAATGACAAAGATGAAATGATAATGAAATTGATAAATTAATAAACTGAAGACTTGCTCTTGAATGAAATGGCTTCTTGTCCATATGTTAGCCCAAAATCAAGTCTTTCTGATTGATATCTATGGAAAAGGCTGGCAGTTGTATGAAGAAAAGGTTCCTTGGGGTTTGGATTTTAGTTATTTGGAAATCTATTTTGTTTGTTTGAAAACTATACTTATCTGTGTTTTATTGAACTGTGTTGTACAAAGTTTTCAAGGGCATGTAATGTACTTATCTCTGTTTTATTAATAGTCTTTCTTGCTCTCTTATTGTTGTTTAGGTGAGAAGGGGATGGTGGACAAGGCACAAAATGCATTAGAAGAGGCTGAAGCACTTAAGAAGGTTTCAATTTCTGAATTTAATGGTGTTATTTCTGTAAATTGGTTTTTATTAACTTGCACCATTTCCTTCTCCTTGGTATGCCTTATTTGTGGATAATTGTTTTTCCATACGTTCAGCTCTCTGCCAGACAGGAGCCTGTTCTGAATTCCTCAAAGTATACTGCTGCTGATGTTCACATTGTGAGTTTTGTTTTTCTTTCTTTCAGTTTCACAGAAGGAAAACTATGATAAAAACTAGATAAGAAAAGTTAGACACACTTGGACCTTATTGGGAAAATATGAATTCGATTTGCATAATTAATGCATGAACGGTCCCTTGTCATAATTTGATTTTAGTTTAATTTTCTTTTAGTTCATTTATATGTTAATATTTTATCTGCCCCAATCTTTTTGATCAAATTTGTTTCAGACTGATCAAAAGCTGCATGTTTGTGATATTTGTGGAGCATTTTTGAGTGTTTATGACAGGTACAGTTTTTATCTCATACTTCTTGATAATAGCATTTTATCTTCTTTCTAAAGGCTTCAAAAAATTAGTGTTTGGGGTTTCAAGTGCTTCAGCTTTTGACCTGGCTATTCTACCTCCTTGTCACCAGCAGGCTTTTGGGCCCAGTTTTATGAGGATAACTTTTGCACCTATATAATGTGCATCTTTTTCTGTTTTTGTACTTGTAGATCATGCAATTGTTGGATAATAAATATTTGGGAAACTGTATAATCTATAATGCATACTACTGCAGTATATATATTTTTTCCATTTTTTAAGTTTCTAGGTCAAAGTGATTTGATTTTTCTTGTTTCTTTCAGTGACTGACGTTTAGCAGATCACTTTGGAGGCAAACTTCATTTAGGCTATGTGCAAATCCGTGATAAATTAGCAGAACTTCAGGTAAGATGATTTACATGCTTGGTATATGCTACTGTCTATGGTGGCTCTGCTTTAAGTGTTACATTATAGTGCCTGGCATCCAAGATGTTGGTTGTATAAATTGCTTGAACTATCCACATACTATGTCTATTATTATTATTATTATTATTTTAAATTATCAGAACTTTATTTGAATGCCGTTACCCAATGGATTCTAGTAAAACAGCAAATTAATACATCTTTTCTGGATCCCCTTAAGTTTGTATTGTGAGTATGTTGGTCAAGTGTTGGTATAATGTTTCTCATTCTTCTATACAGATTCTCAGTTAGTATCATCTGTGAGTTTTTCTGACCTCAGAGAAGAATAATATCTCCCAGTTTTCAATTTCTTTTGATTGTTCGTCGATGCTAGACTTTAAAACATACTATTTGCTACCTTGTTTGTGCATATCGGGCTTAAAATGCATCAAATATGAAGTGTCTTGGTGCCCAACCAATTTTAATAGATTAGTTTTTTCTGCTGAAAGAATGAAAGAAAAAGGAAACATGAAATCAAATCGGGAGAAGTACAAGAAAGAAAGGAGTTTGTTGTAAGTGATGTAAGAAAAAAAAAAGAGCTTTTCATATGTTTAAAATCTGACAACAAATCTGATGAAGGCCTGGTTTGGTCAGGGTAAGTTGCCTGCTAATTATGCCTACCACCATTAGAATTCTTTCCTAATGGTCCTTGTGGCATGTTATATTTAGCTAAATTGAATTGGCATTTAGGTTTTTGAAAAAAGCATTCAGTAGTATTCACTGATTATTGTTTTCTCAGGAAGAGAGAAACAAGAGCTTCAAACTTGACCGGTATGATGACAGGAGGTAATCCTTTCATGGTTTCTTTTCCTTTTTCCTTTGGTAAACCATTGGGTGGTGAGGGGGAGGGGGTGTTGTGATACCCTTTTTATTGGTGGTGTATAGATCGAAAGAAAGGAGCAGAGATCATGAGAGAGAATCAAGTTGGGATTGAGGCTGAGGGAATAGCCATGACCAAGGGAGGGATTATGATTGTAGGAGCAGAGATCGTGACAGGTATAGTGATTAAGATCGTGATAGGGATTATGAGCGCTCTTGGACTTATGATTCTAGAAGTTGCCATAGGTCATGTTCAAGGTCTAGGGAACGCTCCAGGGATCATGATCGCCACAGGTACTTGCTCAACAATATCCCATGCTTGTACAACATATTATTAGTTTTGTTTTGTGATCATTTTTTAACTTATTAAATGTGTAATATAATATAATATTTGTTTTCTATTTTTTGTAAAATGTGCCAACCTGAGTCTTTTACCATTCTTTTCAAATTTAATGCTGAACTCTAGCTAGTATTTGAGTCCAAGAAGCTTAATATAAGATAAAAGCTAGGGACAGTTGCATCAAATATATTTGAGGATGTGAGCTACAATCGTTTATGATTCTGGCAACAAAGAAACTCTTTTAACCCGAAGCTAAATCCTTCTTTTCTTTCTTCCTGTTTTTTTTATCTTTTTTTTATTTTTTTAAATTTTTTTTTGAGCTTATGTGCTCAATAAGCTAATTATAATTGTTCGTACACAAAATTACCAAATTTGAGAAAAGAAATGAGCTTGAGTTAAAAAGTGTTGATCTTAAGTTTTTGTTTTCAACGAGCTTGAACATATTGGCTAGTTTTGAACAATATTGTTATAAATAAGCATGCGGATAAGAATCTTACTCAGCATTTTTGAGTGGTATCATCTGTAGTATATTTCCCTTATTATTGGAATACAGTATAGAGAAATGGTTGTCAATGTCAATCTTGAATAGACCCAGAACCAATAATGGCTAAGGCATAGGGGTGTGGCGAACACCTGTTCTGTAGAATTTTAATGCTGTTTTTCTTCACATAAAAAACCCTGGTTTTTTTTAATCTCATCTAAATTCTAAAATATCTTGACTACTGTTTGATTATGATGAGCTGATGAAGGGATGGCATTCCTTTTGTACGTAATTATATTATGACTTGTTAGTTATTGCTTGGATTTGAATCTTGATTTTCACCTCAAAACCAAGTGATAGATATTTGCCTGCCTTATTTTTATTACTTTTTGTTTTGTGCCTGAAGCTTTTAAAGTTTTTTTGTGCTGATAAGGATTATTCATGAACCTCACTCATTGTTTTTAATCAGGCATGACCGATACTAGATGCATGAATGCTGCCAAGAAGAAAATGAATACAAACTGTTCTTGAGTAGGTAAGCCGACTTATATAGGGGAGTTACATTCCTCAGTTAAGTTATTTGACAGTTTGTCATGTGGTTGTATCAACATGTTTAAGAGGGTATTTGTTGTTTTTTGGTACCTAGAGACTAGGAATTGAATCTTAACTTATGGTTAAAAGTACAAGTAATTCTATCATCAGATCATATTGCTAACAGGTAAGAGGGTATTTGTTGTACTTGGTGATTTGTGTTTGGTATTTGGTATCATTGTAGATGTAAGTTTGGTTGATTTTACTATTCCAACTGGCATGTGGGGCAATTTTTCAGTTAAGTATCTAAAAGGAGAATTAATATAATGAGATTGAATTTTATTTTCTGCTTTGACGGCTTGATATTAAGTTGGCAAGAAATTTGAGGATGCTGGAAACATGATTCACACAATTATATCCAGATTCAATCTCATCTACTGGTAATCATTTGCTGTGTAAAATTTTTTTGTAATTCTCAATCATTTGCTGTGTAAAAAGCATTAGATCAAATTACATCCAAAAGTTAAATGGAAAACCGCAGAGAGTGGAAGCTCATCCATTGATACCAAATATCACTTAAAGAATCATCTATAAGGAAAGGAGTGTGCTTTAAGTATGCAAATGCACATCTCCGATATGCAAAGTGGCTCAATTTGTCTCATCTTGTGTAGCCTATTATCACACAGTAAAAAAATGTGAACCTCCCAGGGATCTATGTATCACAAAAGAAAAAGGAAATACCTGAGGCACCAAAATCTGTTGTGCATGTGAAAGCTAAAATTTATAT